GTATTAGAAACAGGAAAATAGTACTGAACTGCTATTTAATATCTGTCCTACTATATGGCAGTGAATGCTGGACACTTTTCTCAAACATGAGGAGGAGACTTGAATCAACAGAAATGTGGTTCTACAGAAGGATGCTGAGAATACCATGGAGCAAATATGACGGAGTCTTAGGCAAAATGAAAAAAAAACGGACCTAACAGCAGAAAGAGAGAGTTGAAATTTCTAGGACATATAATGAGGAAAGAGGGCTTGGAAAATGTGATACTCACCGCACAGTCAGCAGTCAAGAAAGAGAGAGAAACAAATCCATAGCATATTTAGTGGGCTTGAGTATATGGATGGCGGAAGAACGTTTAGGAGAGAAAACCAATAGACAAAATTTATCAAGAGCTACAAAGGACAGGAAATTGTGGAGAGCCATGATCGCCAACGTCTTGAAGGGACACGACACATAGAAGAAAAAGAAGATATTCAAACATTTGTTTATCGCTAGCGAAAATGCATAGCCAATGGCGATATTGACTATGCAGAAAATAATATTTCTTGATGAAAAATTTCTCTATCCAAAGGTGGTATTGTCCACCATGCATCTGTGGAAATATATAGGAGTTATTACTTTCGTTGGTGAGATAAATTCTCTTACAGTGAAACAACTTTCCTAGCAGAAGACCTAGAATTTGATTCAATAAAATCTCCCCATTTGATGTCAGCGGAAAACGCTTGCCCGAGAAGTTGCAACAAGTCACACCCCTGGAGGTTAGCATTAGCCATGATAATGGATTTGATTTGGTTTACGACATATCAACCTCAATGGGTCATTTAATGCCGGCAACATTTTTTTTTCCTGGCAATATTTTTGTTTTGTCAAAAATTTATTTCTGGTAATATTTTTTTCCTAAAAAATGTATAGCTGGTAATATAATTTTAAAAATGTATTGCTGATAATATTTTTTTTTTCAAAAACTTATTGCTGGTATTAGTTTTTCGTCTTCAAAAATTTATTTCTGATAATATTTTTTTTACAAAGTATTTCTGGTATTAAAACCTAGTTTTACACTTTCATAATGTTTTTTTTTATCTCAGTTTCTGGGTTAACTATTTGCCCATAGCTGGGACCCTAACAGGTGCTACCACCCCGGATCAGGGAACACCAGCAATTAAGAGGTGGTTTCACGCTCCTCAAAGCCTCCTGATCAGAGGCCTTGCTGTTGGGCGTAGTTTATCGTCATACCCAGGACACATGATGATGGAAGGTAAAAAGTATTCTCTCAAACGATTAAAGAGAGCAATTTCATTTTGGAGGCGTTAAAATTACCAAGTCATTCTTTACCTCAGTTAAAAAACTGATTGAAGGCAATTTGACATTATCGAACCGATCAGACTTTGCTTTGAAAGAGGAGTAAATATTTGGGTCATCAGAATAGACACCTAGTAAAGATATGAAGACATCAGGAAGGTCGTTGATGAAAATTAGAACAACGTAAGTTCAAGGATAGATCATTGGGAGATACCTGCATTAATGCAAAAAGATCTAGAAGAGTCGCCATTGTAGACCACATTCCTTTCGCGATTTGATCAGATTGAATCAGATCAAAAATTCAAGCAGAAATACCATGACCTTTCAACTTGTGAATAAGACCAACTTACCAAATCTCATCAAATGCCTTCGAGATATGTAAAGCAACAACCTTAGCTTCAGCATTCTCTTTTAAAGCATGAGAGACTATTTCGGTAATAACAGTTAATGCATCAACAGTTTACCCAGAGAAACGAAAGCCATATTGCTTGTCTGAAAGAAGGCTCTGCGAGGTGAGTTGATTAGATTCTCTTTGTACTTTGCCGAAAAGAGGTTGAAGATTAATAGGATGAGAGAAGGATCAAACTGTTCACCTGAGTTCTTAAAGAATGGAACTAGAAAATAGAATTTCCAACAATTAGTAGACATTTATTGTAGAGTTTATAGGAAACAACGATCGAAATACTTTGTTCGGGGAAGAAGAAACGGGTTTTCGGTGTTCAGGAATAAATACAAGAGTTATTGATGGAATAGGGCTATTATGTGTAAAATATAAGTTTATTGCTAATGATTTGACTATGGATTTGAAATGAGGAAGAAAAAGGTTAATGTATGGGTAAACATTTTTGACAGAGCATTGTTATTAAATATATGTGGGAAAGCTATAAATGGACTGTGTTCAAGTTGCAATAACTGTAATAATCCTGAAGACGCCTCGCGAAGAATGATGATCGTGTCGTCTGCTATCTATAAACCAGAGTGAACTACGAAAATATCGCATATTGGAATGAACGCAAGAATAAACATGGCGAAATAGCTGTGCCTCTCGCCTGATAAATAGAATTCCTCACTGCTGCTGTCGTCGAGTTTCAGTTGGTTACCTTGAGAAGAAACGAGGTATTCATGTGCGAGTCAGAAATAGAATATCTTGTGACTGATGTGGAAAACTGTGAAACGCTGCCACTCGAAACACCGGGTATGTTCATCTGTCGGCAATGTCATTTGGGGGACGGGGTGCATCAAAGCGATACTTACTGAAGGACCATCGTATCTGATTTGCTTACGATAAAGCCAGGCGGGCCAATCGACGGCTCTTCTTGCCGGAGCTGTGAGTCGATTTCTTTGCATTCTTGGTCTCACTTTCTCTCCTTTCTCTTCGGTTTTTCTCTACAAAAATCGACATCATTTACTGTATATCATTACGATATCCTTCGTTTTGCATATTATTAATATTATTACTCTGTCGTGTTTAATAACTTAGGTGGAGGTGGGGGGGTCTAATAACTAGCGACTTTAGAAATTTCTTACGAATCCTTAGTTGTGGGGGAGGTCAAAATATGTTCCTCCTGTTTTAACAGATAAATCTGGGAAGTCGACATGTATGAAAAAAAAAAAAAGAAAGAAAAGAAAACAGGATCCGTAAGAAGGGGTAAAATAAGAAAAAAAAAGAAAATAGCCACCCCCCCTGACTTATTTGGAATGGAAGATTTTATTAATTTTTCTTTCTATTTGCGAAGCTTACTATTTACACCCTTGTGCAAATTAAATGAACAAAACGAATAATTCTGTTATTATTTACTTTTTTTCATTTTTTTCCCCAATGAAGCATGACCCAGTGCACATGTTAGTACTTCGTATGTCCAGTCCACAAAGTCTTTTCTTGCAGATTGTCCACAGATTCACGATTGGATTTAAATCAGGAGAGTTTCCGGGCCAGTCTATAGTACTTTGATTTGCTCACTGGTAAGGCTTGCCAGTATGTTCATGCAGCGTTACAATTTTCCTACGCTTCCTTAGAGTAACGTCCACCACAGACAATGGCTGTAGAACAACTAATCGACAGTCGAGACAATAGTGTCTGGGTGGGATAAAAATCTGACGCAATCACGAATGACGCAATATTTTTCAAGGCCAAACAAATTTCATCATACCCACCGAAATAGAATGATATTACTGCACAGCAGTGCAAATGACCTGATCTGAGGAAAAAATAGAAATCGATTACATCCTGTCATTCCAGTGGATCTAAAACTGACCGTATGGTGAAAGAAAGGAAACTGAAGCGCTTGTTCAATTAATTTGCATAAAGGTGTATGTCCGTTGGTGATGAGAAATCCGAGATCCGAGTTCGAATTCCAGTCGGGTTCGTTACATTCACTTACGCGCGAATAACCTTGGGAAAAGTATGAACCGATCTTTTCTCCCCTCAGCTATGGGTTGAATAGCAGGACTGACTTGGATGGTAACCAGCTTACCGCAAGAAGAAACGGCAAATCTTCTGCCGAGTCAGTCATGAATCAAAAGAGACATAATCAGTCAAGCGTGTATCACGTGATGGCACTTAACCGACAGACTACTGGTGTGAAGCACTCACCGATAATAGAATTTGTTATCAAAAAGAATCTGTTAAAGCATCAACTTCTCCATTGTGAGACTTTCTCGTTCCTCTTATGATGACATTTTTAAAGATCGCCAATGGCAGTCTTTAAGCTCGATTTCAAATTACTTCCTATTTATAAAAGTCCGTTTCTTCTATTCTTACGTTTCACCACTACACAAAGCAGGAATCGAACTCACGATAACCAGGGAATAAGATATGTTATAATCAACATTTTAAACCGCAGTGTGTAATTTTGAAGCTTTAAACGTACGATGAGTGTTCTAGAAGGAATTGATTGCTTGATGTCGAGCCTTCTCTGTAACTAGATGGGTGACCACTTGGGAATAACAGTAAGCCTGGATGTGCGGGTGGTGTAATGGATAACGATTCGGAATTGGAAATCGTAGAGCCGAGTTCCAATTCCAGTCATGTTCGTTATATTCACTTACGCTCATTGGAATATAAGCCTTGCCAAACTTTTAAAGAGACCATGTGTGAATATAAGCCCAGTTGGGCGATGGGTAATGCATTTAAGCTGTTGTAACATTGATGTATGTGATAAGGCGGCTTTTTCTTCTTCTATGTATTGTGTTCCTTCAAGGCGTGGTCGACCATGGCTCTTCACAACCTTCTATCCCTCGTGGATCTTAACAGCATTTCTCCCTTTGCCAAGCCTCCCGTTTCATCATCCATTCGCATAAGCACGTCAGGTTGGTGGCCCCTGCCTTCCACTATCATTCTCGGCTTCGACAAGCTTTTCTTCCTCATTGTGTGTCTAAAAAATTTCAGTTGTGTTTTTTTAGGATTTTGAGTATAAATGTACTTTTTGTTACCATTTTCTTTAAGACTTGCTTGTCTCTTACTCGCTCCGTCCATGGAATTATCAATATCCTTCTGTAAAAAGACATAATCTGTTGTCTCTGTTTTTCTCTTCATACCAAAGAGCGTCTCTCGATAATGCATAACCAGCAGAAATGACTATGTAGAAAAATGAGTTTCGTAGCTTTAAACTTGCTTTATCCAATTCTGCTGTCATTGTCAATTCTATATTGGTTGTAATTCCTGTGGACATACGAGACTAATGTCACAGAGTATCCGGCGGACATGATTCGATACCCATCTATCTATGTAACTTATTCAATTTGTTCATATTTATCTGTTCATATCTCTGCCAAATCTATCTATCTATCTATCTATCTATCTCAGGCTGTTCATATCTATCTATCTATCTATCTATCTATCTATCTATCTATCTATCTATCTCAGGCTGTTCGCATCTATCTATCTATCTATCTATCTATCTATCTATCTATCTATCTATCTATCTATCTCAGGCTGTTCGCATCTATCTATCTATCTATCTATCTATCTATCTATCTATCTATCTATCTATCTAAAAAGAAAACAAGAAGTTGTTCATAGCAGAAAAGAATTTGAAAGAATAAATGCATAATTTTACGTAGCACACAAGTACAGTTAGAGCGAATTCGCGCTCTTTTTCCTGCCTACACACGTGAATAAAAAAAAATGGTGGTCGTTTCATTCTTTGCTCTAAGTCTCGTCCCCGTTTCTATCGCCTCTGGTCATCGCCCTTGGAAGTAAAGTGCCTCTAGCCTCCCCGCGACTGCCGATCGTGAGTGCCATTTAATTATTTCATGATTCCTGATTATCCCACATCCTGCCGATGCTTGTTAAACTGTAAGAACGCCACCCAGCTCCCATTCCGATAGCGATTCCCGCCTAATTACAGCAGAGCGTTATTTAGAAAGACAACCTTCTTAATTAAGTTGCCGCTTCGTTTTACACTTCTCAGCTTTTTATTTGTTTGGTTTCTCTGGAACTTTTGCCTTTCGGATTTTGTTTGTTGTTTCTCACTTTCTTCTTTCTTGTTTCTTTTCTGCTTTTTTTTTTTCATTTTTTCGTAGTTTCCTTTCTGTTTTTTTCCATGATTTCCGTTTCACTTTAATTTCTTTCTTTGACATTTATAACCTTTCAGCTTTCTTTCTTTCGTTCTATCGTTCTTTCTATCTGACTTTTCTTTCTTTCAATAAACTATTCAGTGCTTCTTTCATTCTAGAAATCATTCAGTGCTTTTTTCATTCCAGAAATCATTCAGACTTTCTTTCATTCCAGAAATAATTCAGTCTTTTTTCCATTCTAGAAACCATTCAGTCATTCTTTCTTTCTTTCTTTCAAGAAATTTTTATTCCCGAAATCATCCAGTCCTTCTTTTATTTGAGGAATCATTCAGTCATTCTTTCATTCCAGAAATAATTCAGTTTTTCTTTCATTCTAGAAACCATTCAGTCATTCTTTCTTTCAAGAAATTATTCAGTTCTTCTTTTATTCTAGAAATCATTCATTTCTTTGATTTTTATGTCGTTTATTTTTGTCTGTAATTTTTGTTCGGAAAAATCGTTTAGTGGATCAAAGCTTCGGTTGAAATTAATGACATAATAATTGTGAGTTCAAGCCCAGGGTCGCGTAGTGCAGACTTAGCATTAGTAGAAACAAGGTGGGCAAAACCTGAGCCATGCTAAATAAGAACTCTTCGAGATATTCCGGGATATAAACAAAGGAGCGTTAAAATATATATCACCCCCACCCTAGAGTAAATAAAGGAATCTTTCCAAAATTCCCAGAAAGTTAGTCGAGTTGGCGCATTCCTGATTGGTCAGAATGGACGAAATGCTGGCATAATACCAATGAAGAATGAGGTTTATAGTGTGATTGTAAATAGTACAAACTGTTGCTGGACAATTATTGTTATTTTGGTACGCTAAAAGTAACAGGTGATTTGCACTGGTAATGTTGCCATCTGAATGGTTTGGTCTGGTTTGTTTTACGGCATATCAACCTCAATGGGTTATTTAATGCCGACAAAATTTTTATTGCTGGTAATAGATTTTCTTTCAAAAATCTATTTCTGGGAATATTTTTCCTTGAAGAAATCTATAGCTGTCATATTTTTTTCAAAAAATGTACAGCTGTTTGCATTTTTTAAAAAGTATTGCTGATAATAATTTTTCCTTCAAAAATTATTGCTGGTAATAATTTTGTTTTTTATTACAAAATATTTCTGGTATTAAAACCTATTTTTACACAAGTTTGGGTGTTAACTATTTGCCCATAGCTGGGACCCTAACAGGTGCTACCACACCGGGTCAGGGTGGACCTGGGAATACCAGCAATTAAAAGGTGGTTCCATGCTCGTCAAAACCTCCTGATCAGAGGCCTTGCTGTTGGACGTAGTTTATCGTCATACCCAGGACGCGGATGTAGTTTATTGTCATACACAGGATGTCATCTGAATGGTATGGTTTTCTTCTAAGATTTCCAGTTTATTCTACATATTTCCTTGGATATTCAGAATCGCTCCAAGTGTCTAAATGACTACTGGTACAACTCATCTTCAAGTTATCGTTAATTGTATAATTACATGAAATTAATCAATTATTTCCGACGAGTGTGTCTTTCATATTTAATTTCATTTGCATTTCATTGCAAATTACTCAGAGTGTAATGCAGAATAAATTTTCACTGATGCATTAATATAAATCTCTTTTTACACTATTTACATCATTCAGACTGTTGTGCTCATCTTTATTGCCATATTCACGACGTTTCGGCCGTTGTACCCTCCGAACTTCTTCAGGGGATATATGCTGGAATATCGAAACGGAACCTTTATTTAGGTCATAGGGTTAGATTGTTCTAATTCCACGTGCCATGCCCTTTTATATACCTCAGTTTCAGTTAATTTCATTTAGTAACTCAACTCTCCAAGTTTTTGTTTGGGTCAAGTCACTGGATTACTTCAATCAACCAAATGACCCAGTGGATAAAAACGTTGCTTGAAGACGGGAATTGTGATTTGTTCGGCAGGTCTGCTTGTCTTGGCGCGCTATGAAGGACTAAATGCCTCTCTAGTTTTCACTTGAGATTTACGGACGGAATTGGTCTGTTGCTCAGCCGCGCGGTGACCCTACGACCATATTCAGTCATGCGAATGCTGCTGCTGCTTCTGATGGTGTTGATGTAACTCAACCCTCCAAGGTTTCTTTTACCCCTGCTGTCACCAGATATTGAACTCACAACTCTTTGGGTCAAGTCATTGGATTACTTCAATCAACCACATCGTCCAATGGACAAAAACTTTGATTGAACTAATATGACCTGAAGAAGACCGAAACGTTGTAAATATGACAATAAAGATAAGGACAGTCGTCAGAATAATGTAAACACCTAATCTCAAAAATATAGACAGATAATAAGATCATTACTTAGGCACCTCGACGTGGTGTAATGGTTAGACAGATTCTCTTGCTATATTAATTAAGAGTTAGTAGTCAGTTCGATCCTCACTGGGTGCCCCATACTTTCGGCATTGTGCCGCATCTAAGCTGAGCTTAGGAAATTACTATCATTATTTTAGTCTTTCTTTGGTGAATATCTAAATCTTATCATCTCGAGGTCAGAGATTATATTTGGGGTGATATTTTAAGGTTCATTTTTTTTGTCTTATCAGCTAATACAAGAGCTAAAATTTACCTTTTGTAATTTTAAGATATGTGCTCTTACCAGACAACCCAGTACTATCTGCTGCAGATTGGTAACAAAGAAAACCGAGCTGCTACATGACATCTGTCCTCCTTTATGGCAGCGAATGTTGGACAGTCTCATCAAAGATGAAGAAGAGACTTGAGGCAACGGAGGTATGGTTCTACAGAAGGATGCTAAGGATATCAGCTAATACATGTGCTAAAAGCTACCTTTTGTAATTTTAAGATATGTGCTGTTACCAGATAACCTTGTACTACCTGCTGCCAGGCCTGGTCATCAGCGACTGAACAGGTTCCTTCACCAGGCTTTTCTGGTGAGAAGGATGGCTACTCAGCAGGATTAAAAAAAAAGATCTGTCAAAGGGTCGATGGACCTTCCTGTATGGACAAAGGCCATCTAATCCAATGAGCTAGACTGAGTATCATACCTATTTATACAGCCAGTCCGTTGATAGGACGGATTCCTACACTGATGTCAACGGCTTGTGCGTAGTGGGTTCCCTTGAGGGAATAAACTGCCAGGTGTACATGACCATGGTGAGCCTTCAATCTGGACGACATCGACTGTCATTTGACCTGCAGCGGATTACTTAACCAACGCTTTTATCCACGTTTTTACATGTGAATCCTGTCTCACTGTGAGAGCTGCTCTACCCTCTAAGCCATAAAAAAACAAAACAGTTTCAGTATTTATATAGTTCACAGTTACAAGACGAGGATAATATTTTGAAATTAGATTGGCTTTATTTTTTTTTGCACGAATAATCCAGGAATTTTATTATCTTCACACACAAAAGAATTTTGTTATTTTTAAAACCATTTAAAGTAAACATACAACCAAAAAAAGCTGAACTAAAGTAAAATGAATTTATCAGTAGCTGACCAATCAGTATTTGAAAATTTGATTAGTAGATTCATTTAATGACTACTTTTACCATAACAACAGAATATCTGATTATTTCAAATAGTGGGAATAAGGATCGTGATATATATACAAAACCTTTCGTTAATGAAGATAACACGTATAAGTTAATTGCCAGAAAGACTAAATTCGGCGCATAGGGCAGCGGTTATTCACCTCGACAAGTAATGGGCTCCATTACGGCTGAGAATTTGATAAACAACATTTTACTAAACAGACGCCTTATCGCCGCTTCGAATCAGCCATGACCGAGGAAGACAATCAACCTTTGCGGCCATGATTAACAATTTTATCGGTCTATTTAATATTTTAATTTTTCCTAATCTCATTTGTTTTACATAATTCCCAACTACATTCGTAGTGACATACATACACGCATGTATACGCACGTCACATCTCGTCTACACACAATACACTTTACCCACGCCACTAAACTCATAAGTTCTACGATACTCACCATTTCTCTCTATCTACCCTGATGATGACTTAAGAAAGTCGAAACCTTGGGCCATATTTCTTCCGAAATGAAATGATTTTTCTGGCAGAAAAGACAAAAACATTTGCCTTAAATATATAGAAATATTGTTTTACATAGATATATATATATATGTGTATTTATTACTTCAAACGTTATTATAGTGAACACTCGTATTTGAAATCAACGCCTCATTTTTAATTTAAACATTACGTCTGTCCGCCTGTGCATTTGAGAAATTTCGGATTAAAGATAAATTCTTTAGAAATATATCTGTATGTATGTATGTAATATGTAGATGTATCATAATAATAATAATAATAATATCTGACCACTCCTATTGGAGAATAAACCGTCTATATATGTATAAGACCATATTTATGACACAGAAAACAATAAAATGAGAGTGTGGAAATTACTTCATCGCTTCTGTCTCAGAACACTTCTCCAATTATTTTACTTTCAAAGATAATCACAAACTTGACAAATTCAGCTTTTGTCTGAGGCGATCACACTGTGTAACACGGTTTTTGTCAATGGGTAGCAAAAAAAATTGCCTTAAATATATAGAAATATTGTTTTATATATGTGTGTGTATTTAGTACGTCAAACATTGTTATAGTGAAATAAACGCCTCACGATAAAAACAAATACATCAGATTCATTATTTACTATGAAAAAAAATCAAAACTAGGAAGCTAGTTATTCAAAATAATTCACCCCAAACTTTTAACCACTTAAAGAAAACAAATGTTGCATATGAGTGTACTCGCCCACACGGAGAATGTTTCTCAGTAAAAACAAAACAAAAACAATGCAGGCGTTCTGAAGCAAAAGGAAATATTTGTCGCAGATTAATTCAACAACGCAGAGACTAAATCACTGTAAGTTTAGACTCAAATATCGGGGGCAGAATGAAATGCCGAAAACTCGATTCGCAGGGATTATCTCACAAATCACAATTCACGTAACCAGTCAGAAAAATAACTCACTCTCCGACGAACGCGGTGGCCAAAATACATCAGTTTTTCCTCTCGATTCGAGAACACCAACTGCTTTTATAGGCCGAGTAGTTTTTTCATTCGTCGACAACTGGGAGAGGACGCCACGTATTTTGCATAACAAAATACTTTAATAGAGACTCCTGTGACGGACTTGTTTTTAATCTAAATATTCTGTCTTCAGCATGTCATGCGGAATATGTGCCCCCCTTTTTCTTTTGGTAAGTAATTTTCTTTTCCGTCGTTTTCCGTTGGTTTGACGACGTAAGTCGCCGTTTTCTTCGCTATAAATAGAAAAAAAACAGAAAATGTCTTGCATAGGATATACCACCACCACCCCATCACATTCTCACGGAGACTCACCTGCCACCCATTAGACCAGAGTGCCACCAGAAAACGCATTAATAAACAGCATAAG